GTTAGGTCGATCTAAAGTAGATCGATCTAATCTCTGGAAATGGGGTCTTAGTTTTAAAGTGGCAGTTTCCTGTCTTAATGCACAATATCAAATTTCCTCCATTTCAGACAGAGGAGACCTGTACATGTGGGGGAAGAACAAAACTGGCGCCCTGGGCCTTGGCACCAGAAAGGACCAATTTTTCCCTCTCAAGGTAATTCTTCCTCATTCTTCTTTTCCCTTTCTTAATTACGTAATATGGAATCACAGAGGTGCTGCGCTGACAATCAGCACATGAAACTTCTCCGTCTTTTTTTTGTTTTGTTTTGTTTTGTTTTTGTTTTTTCGGTTGTGTGCCGGTGCCTGGATCTGGCAGAAGCTCAGGTCTGTCCATTCTTTAATGTGGTCTTCCAATAGTTTCTTTTGTCTACCTCTGCACCTCATTTTGTATGCAATTTGTAAATATAACCACCAAAATCCAAGAATTTTGAAATTGGCTTATATGAACTAAAGCTTGAGCAGAGAATTTGTAGGTCAGATGTATTACAACAGTTACAGTAACATTTTATATTTCCTCATTTCAGTAATGTGTTCTTAAAAGTTGTTTTATATCCCCAGGTTTCTCTTCCCTCCATGGCCGAGGCTGTTAGCTGCGGGGTGGACCACGTGGTCTGCATTGGGAAGTCGTTTTGCTGAAGTTTTATCAGTGGTCATCTTAAAAATGACCAGTAGTTGTAAAATATGTAGTGACCTCTGTTGTGACCATGACTGTGGACTGAATTGAAAGAGTACAGGTCTGATACTACTTCCAGCCTTAGAAATTAAGACTGGACCATCTGCCCGGGGCTGACAACTTTTAGTATGGGCTGATAAGTTTTCCCACCTGGCAAACATTTAGTCCAGCTACTTTTCAAGATGGCTGGACTTTCGGTCCAGCAACTTATTTTTCTAAGAGGCAAACACTGACTACTTCTGTTTGAACTGGTACAATATTTACTTCTGGTTGTTCTTAGAATTTTTCTTATCAAACTTTCAAGTTGAAGGAGGATTGTATTCTTTGTCGGGAATTGTCTTCAGGCTTATTTAAATGATTAAGCTCAGGAGAGGATTGTATTTAAACAAGTTCAAAGTCTAACTCCAACCTCAACAAACAACTTGAAATAATGTTGCAAACAATGTGCAATAACTCTAATAAAATGTTTCTTATGGGTAATTTACAAGAATTGAAAGTAATTTGTAGCATTTAGTGACTGGGAATAAAATGCTTTTACACATCTGAAATGATTTTATTTGATGATTTTTATGAACACGTCAATAATAAAAATAAGACTCCAGTATTTCAGTAAACACAAATTGAGAGTTTATTGACTTTCCATACTGCTCACTGCAGACAACTGAAGTTAGCATAACAGCACAAGACGGCTCAGGTTAATTACAACACAACGATGAATTACCTTCACAACTATGTACATCCTTTTCTCAAATTTATTCAAAGTAAGGATGGTATTAAGTACAATTATTTCTTAATACTCTGTGACTGCGGGATCCCAGGTGGAGATAAGGCTCTCAGCACTGCATTTAAATTTAAAGTCTACATTGGCATTGCCGAGTGTTTGTTGGTTGTCGCAGATTTTTATTTCTGGAATTTCTGAAGTTAGACCTTGTTAAACGCAACGATGTCTGTACTCTGGACCTGAAAAAGAAGTAGAAAAAAAATTATTTTAATTCAAAATACACCCTCATAAAAACAAACAAAAATTGTGAACCTTTACCCAAGTGACCTTTGCCAAGGTAAGATGAAGATATTTATAATAGTCTTAGCATTACTGTTGAAGAGGGGAAAATTAACATGCTGAACTTACAAAGTCTTCAAATTCACGAATTTGATCTTCTAAATCTTCAGTGCTGACTTTATCATCTTCTATTACACACATGATCTGAAGTTTTTTGATGCCATAACCAACAGGGACTAGCTTAGCTAAAAAGAAAAAGGTAAAATATACAGATATAACAGTTTAGGAAAAGGTTAATTTTCTTCATGTAACCTTTCAAACATTAACAGACAAGAAACAAGTTTTGTTATTATGATCCTCGTATCTGTTAAAGCTGACCTCACAGGACATGCACACTTGAATATAGAAATAAAAGTTAAAAGCAAGTTAAGTAGAACATATCAGCATGGGCGTCTGCAGGGGGGGGGGGGTAAATGGGGTCACTTGACCNTTTCCAGGGCAGAGATTCTGGAGGTCAGTTTTGTGACCATGGCCTGGAGGTCCTGGGTCACTGGAATTCACAACAAAGTGACCATTATGTGGATGCCGACTAAAGGATCTCAATTAACTCAAAATTCACATGCTTAGATCACAAAGAAATTCATGCAAGGACCTTGCACAGATTTTTCTAAGAATAGCAATTGCCTGTCATCACTCTTCAAAATTAAATAAAACAAATCAATTATTCGATTTCTGAAAAGCTCTTTTTTTTACATGAAATTTATGGAACAAATAACTTTTTGGACTTCTGAAAAGCTGTCAATTTTTTACATGCAATTTAATGGAATCACCCTTTATTTTAAAAAAAGATACCTTTCTCCAGATGTTCTATTCTACCGAGCATGGCCGAGTCTCCGCTTACAGCAGATCCCTGCAATATATTACATTATATAATATAATATAATATAAAAAACACATAGATTACAGCAGACCTCTGCAATACATTATGTATGCAGATTCCCGAGTCCTTCAATATCCTGCAACTTATTTTGTTAACAGGACTGACAAATTTACTTTTCAACATAGTAAAAATAAAATAGGTATATTATATATATCATATGTAAAAATGAAATTTAAAGATTGCTAAAGAAGCTTTGGAGCACTTAACATCCTACGACCTGATATTTAAGAAACACAGGCAATTCAAAAATTTCAACGGTGCAAATGATCAATTAAAAATGACACGAATAAAGAAATAGAGGCATTTCAAAAATTTCCATGGTGCAAATAATCAATTAAAATGACATGGTTAACTCATTGTGATAATTCATTTAAATGCCTCATCCTCAAGACATCTGGATAAAAATGTAAAATTATTAACTGCCACCTGTACTTTCCTCATCATACATACATACATACATAAACCTTATCCAACTTGTTAGATCTCTCACATGCATCACAGAAAAGGCCAAGAACAAATAGCTCATTTCAACTTGGTGATAAATTTATGAAGTCACAATAAACAAAAAGGGGAAAAACGACAAAGATAAAAATTGAAAAAACTTCCCATGTAATAATTTGCCTGCCACTAGAGCATGCATTACAAAATTATATGCACATTTTCACTGAAAAAATACAAATGCTAAGCACAAGACGTATTGGACATAATTCAGCTGAGCAATAAATGAGTCTGTTATTACAGAGAAAAAGCTTTTCAAACTTCATAATTCATGCTGAAAAATTTTAAAAATCAATTTTCTTCCTCAGATCATAACTAGGATAAAACAAATGTTTTATTCTTTCAAATTATTCTCTGTATCAGATTAAAATGGGAAAAAAATCAAATGTGTTCAAATCTTTTTAGTCCAATTATCCTGAGCATCTGGAGGTTTTCTTAAAATCTTAGAGTTAACTAAGAACATTTATTAGGTTAAAATTCAATCAATGATTTTTAAGTGTCCCCTGTCTCATACTAAAAAAAAAAAAAAAA